ATCAAATCGTTTAGGTGTAGTTTGAGAATATATATATATATGTTCAACAGTAACCCATTTCTTCACATTTAGTCTAAAGCAATAATTTTCATATATAAATTTTACACTTACTTGAACAAAGAGAAATGCTCCAGCAACTTTCTCTTTGGAATTAGCAAAGCTGAGCTGATCTTCTTGTAAAACTAGTTTCATAATCACAAGAAGAATGACGCCCAAACCGCTTAAAATATTACCCAAAAACAAGGTCACCTGAAACAAGCTGTATCCTCTTTGAGGAGTGTTGCCTGAAATGGCCATAAATTTCAAAGCGATTTTGATTGTTTTGTGGTACATTGCAACTTGTGGAATTCTTCCAGATGCAGATAGGAAATGAACACAAGTAAAATGTCTTCGATTCAGTTAATGTATTCCATAATGATAGCAATTTGGTTTCTATTCAACATTTTCTAAACTTCTCTGTAATCATCTCTTCTATTGTTGTTCCGTTAAGAATACAACAAATAATCGGTTCTCTAATGGTTCATTATTAATGAGTCCTTCGGAAAGGATACAAAAAAAACATGCAATACTATTTTCAGTCTACTTAACTATAGGGGTTATCTTTATAATTTTATAATAATTGAAGACCCTCAATTATTTTTAATTATTTCAGTTAATTGTCCACAAATTTTCGTAAATTATTTAGGAGAAAGGGGTTATAAGTTCAATTCAAAAGTTGCCTATCTATATAACGGTAAATGCCATTGATTTGAAATTTTCGTCATTATTTCTGGATGACAAGCATGATCAGAATAATATAAAATATTAGATTTGACCTAACGACTCTATTGTCGTATAGCATAGAGTCTGTTACACTGCCAGTTTGAACCATAATCAAGTATGCAATTTGTTTACAGCTATCAGTCAGAAACTGTACAATTTATAAATGAAAAACTCAAAAGGAAGAAATAATGGATCTGAAAGGAAACAATAAATCAATCGATACACCTTTTAATAATCAAATATATTTTTCTAAATCATATTCCTCGATTAAATTCTGAATTCAATCAAATTGATTTCATAAATAAAAAATTTAAAACTCAATGAATTACAAAATATATGAAAATGTTCATGAAGTTCGTTTCTTCTATCACTTTTCTTCCTTCACTATACTTTTGTGATCTGCAAAAGAAAAATTTATTTCAAAAATCACCTCCGAATGGAGACTGTCATTCTCATCATCATACACCAATGAATCACATAATATATGAACTCGTACAAACGTTACTTCCTTTGACAAAATGAGAAATCAAATTGACAGCTCTGCCAGAGCTGTCAATTTGATTTCTCATTTTTAGATGCCTTATTGAGGACGAAAGTGGAATCTCTAAGCCTCGAGTCAGTCATAACAAGATCGAAAGGTGCCTCACATTTTGATGTTTTTGTTTAAAATTATTAATAATAAAACTAATTCACCAACGTTACTTTCTTTACTGCGATTTAATGTGCCTCCAAGGAGAATGTGCTCTTCTGTTACATTTAATATCCCTGTTTTACATAGAACTACTAGAGCTCCTCTTGCAACCATGNTATATATATATATATATATATATATATATATATATATATATATATATATATATATATATATATATATATATATATAATAAATCATGATTTTCATGGAATTATTTTCCAGCAGCTTGACTGCTACATCTTTGCCCAGTCAGCAAACAAGCTGATCATTGAGTCAAATCAATTCCATTCTCGGAATAACAATGCTTTCAGTATTGCTTGCTAAAGACTGAAGACTGTACACTGCCTTTTATTTTTCAAAAAAAAAAGAAATAAAATAGGATTTTATTGAACTTGAAATTGTTGATGAAAATGATAAAGACGCGTTAGTAGCATTATTGTAACTTACCATTCTTTCCATCCTCCTGACCATCTTCAGGTATCATACTTCGATCCGATTCCATTGAGGCAGGACTACCGTACATCTGTTGTGGTACCCCTGTGTCGGCCGCCATTTGAGGTCCTTCGGACGAAGTGGGACCTCCGTGAGGACCGTACGGATGACCTCTTCCGGCATGCGGTGGATACTGAGGATACTGATGATGGTAGTACCCATGGGGCGGATACTGTCCAGAAGCCGGTGACGGATATCCTTGAGGGTGAGGGGGGTAACCTTGCTGTTGGGGTGGATAAGCGCCGTAACCGGGATGAGGCGGCCGAGCTGGTAAGGGGACTGACTGGGTATTCGGAACTGGATAGCAAATAGAAAAATAAGTAAATGGGGTAGGTAAGTGAACGAGACAATTTATAGTTGAAGTTGAAGAGCTT